ACAGTTGTCCTCCCCGCCGCCTCCTCGGAGCGACACCCCCCCTTCGGTGCACAGCACCTGGCAGTCTACGGCAATGGTAAAAAAATTTATTACTCCCCCCCCCCTCGCATTTACAAATGCTCAGTTACTCATAGTGTTATGATGTCACTATCACCCAGTTGTAAGGAAGGAAACTAAAACTGGTTCTCATTATGCATTGCTAAATCTCATTACAACGCATAACAAGAAGAATGTGTTGGTTACACTTGGCGGGGAATCAGAACTGAGTTATAGAGCCTTTCTCTGCCACATAGCTGCAACACTCACATTCCCCTACCCCCCCCGAAGAAGTGGAAACACATGCAGCAAACATCAGCCTCATCTTGCCTGTAGCATACACTTACATTTGGGACCATGCAAATATGGAAAATCCCCCACTTTAATGACTGTTATCTTTTCTTCCTGCAGCACATCATTAAGTTCCACAGAGCGTCCAAGGCCAACAAGAAGCCCCTGCAGCTGCCCAGAGGAATGGTGAAGTCCCTGCTCTACCAGATCCTGGACGGCATCCATTACCTGCACGCCAACTGGGTCCTCCACAGAGACCTCGTAAGAGAATTGAGGAGGGCATAGAGGGAGGGAAAATAGAAAACAACACAGCAGTTTATAAAAGACTGGAGCATTGTCACAGGGTAGAGAATCGGCCATGTGGTGTTGTATAAATGTGCATGTGTTGAGTTATTGTTCCTAACTGCCTTATTTTACACGTCTTAAATGTTATTGTGTGTTGATTAGTGAAGACATTTTACCACATATAACCAAGATTAGTATGCATCTTCATTTAAACACCCTCTCTAGTTGTTTTAGTTCACAATTATTTTACTTAAAAACTGAAACCTATTTCCATTTTTGTAGATTTTGTGTTCTGAAGAAAATGTTCCAGCTTGGCTTTTCTTGCTTTCTCACTGATTCTGTATTTTGTTCATCAAAATAATTATTCAAGAATAAATTCCGTCAGGTTTAAACAGATTTTACCAGAGTGAGATTGAAGAGGTAAGCCTGCTCTCCTGTGGGTCCATGTTATGTCCACGAGAGGGCAGCAACACAGAGTTTTAATTAGAAGAAGAATTGGGAGGAATGAAACCCTCTTTAATGGTCACACATGCAGAGCACACAGCGCCCGGGGAGCAATAGGAATGAAGGGGGGTGTCCGGTGCCTTGCTCAAGGGCACCACGGCAGGGCAGGAGTTGAACTGGGACCTCTCCAAGTAGCAGTCCACACTCCATATTTAGGTTTGGTCGGGGACTTGAACCGACGACCCTACGGCTCACAGTCCAAGCCCCTACTGACTGAGCCACTGCCGGACTAACCACACACCACACACAGTACTGTAGCGTCTGAAGAAGCGTTTCATTCAGTCTCCTTAACCAAACCAGGATCAACACTATATGCTAGTAGTAGCTATAAAGCTCATCTTTGAATTTTGGTATTAGTGACAGCATGAGCTCTTTTTCTCTGTAAATGTTCAAACATATCTGCATTGTTGAAGTCGATGTTGTATCTCTCTTTTCCACAGAAACCAGCTAACATTTTAGTGATGGGAGAAGGGCCAGAGAGGGGCAGAGTAAAGATTGGTGTGTACAATGTCTGCTGTTTTATTACAAACAATGTATCATTTGAGTTCTACTTTACTGACTGTAATGTGTGTTGTGCAGCGGACATGGGGTTTGCCCGCCTCTTCAATTCACCGCTGAAGCCTTTAGCCGATCTGGACCCTGTGGTGGTCACCTTCTGGTACCGAGCACCTGAACTGCTGCTGGGGGCTCGGCACTACACCAAAGCCATCGGTGAGGATTGTGCAACACCATCCATCTGCACCTCTTCCCACACTTACAGCCACAAGTTAAATGATATTGAATTACTCTTTCTTCAGATATCTGGGCGATTGGCTGCATCTTTGCAGAGCTGCTGACGTCTGAGCCCATATTCCACTGTCGCCAGGAGGACATCAAGACCAGTAACCCCTACCATCACGACCAACTCGACCGCATCTTCAACGTCATGGGCTTCCCTGCAGGTGAGGGGCAACTGCTGCCGGACTTAAGAAGGGAAATACGGAAAATTAGCATAATAGAGCCTCTTTATCATTAATTACTTACTGTGAAGCTGACAATTGAGCGGCCCGACCAAGCAAGGAGGCAGAACGTCCAAAGATACAACCCGGTGTGGGAATTATTAACTCATACACATATGATATGACACAGCGTCAATCTGCTGCTCCTGTGCGCACAGCCACCACAATACCAGCCTCCCAACAGACAGGGAAACAGAGCCTACATACACACCCACTAATCAACAATTAGACACAGGTGAGGGGAGAGCAATTAGACACAGGTGGGGGGGGGGGAGACAACACAGGGCACCAGGTGCACACAATCAACCGTAACAGACATGGGGAAAGGGGAACGCTTTAACATAAAACCAACCAAACAAAGGCAGACAAACTCAAACACAGACAGATGCACACACTACATACATTTCGCCACCAACAAAACTACACAACTCGTAACGGAGGCCGAGATCTATGGCCCCAGAGATCACCTCTGTTACACATACTGATATCCTCGTTATATTGCAAATGCTAGCATACCAAAGTGTTACAGTTTGCTTTTGAATAGTAAATGATGTGAAAGGAAATGTTTCCATTCCTAGCAGAGGCAGATTATTTGCCGCCTGGTGTTTTTTCTTAAGGCAGTTCTGTGGTCTGTTGGCTCTGAAGACCACTCCACTCACAAGATATCTGAAGCATAATCACAAACACAAACTTCTCCTTGCAGCGTTACATTTGGGCCTATATCTTCCAGTTCACTTAAGCTGCTGCTGATATGTTCCTTCTACCCTCTCTGCTGCTCTAGTTGTGTAATTCACTTCTCTTTCTGATGGTTTTGGTTTTGACTCTGCAGGACCATTAAGCCTTTCAAATCTGTTTTGAAATTATATAAAAACATGCCAGAAACAGATCTTACGCTGTCAGTGAAAAACAAAACTCAAGATGCTTTTGATGTAACAAGGAGATTGTTGTGGGTTAAATCGTAAGCATTAAAAAGATTGCAATCCAGACCGGGCAACCTAAATAATCTGCTCTTGGACGGAGGGAGGGGGGAGGGAGGGTGTGACATGGTGTAATCCTGCCTTTCCTTCATTTGACAGATAAAGACTGGGAGGACATCAAAAAGATGCCAGAACACTCCACGCTGATGAAAGACTTTAGGAGGAACACGTGAGTGAGCACAGAAGCACTGTCCTACTTTTCACTGAGATCAGAAACAGAGTTAGAGCAAAGTGCTATGTCTGCTGGCAAAAAGACAACCGTGTAATAAGTCTGCATATGTGTTTCTTTTCCATCACAGATACACAAACTGCAGCCTCACAAAGTACATGGAAAAACATAAAGTGAAACCAGACAGCAAAGCATTCCACTTGGTGAGTGAAAGAGCCTTGAGTTAGGGCGATTGCATGTCATTTGCATAATTAAAACGCACTATGCAATAAAGTTTGGTTCTCAATGACCAATGGAGCATGCTTTGTCATTATGCCGCCCGCTATTAATGGCTTCCTGTTTCTTTAAAGCTGCAGAAGCTGCTCACCATGGACCCCATCCGCAGAATCACATCAGAGCAGGCCATGCAGGACCCCTACTTTTTAGAGGAGCCCCTGCCGACTTCAGAGTGAGACACAGCACACACACACACACACACACACACACACACACACACACACACACACACACACACACACACACACACACTGTATCAGAGTCCTTGGCTCGAGTCACATGACCCGAGGGACGCCGCCCCCCCACTGGTCCCTTAGCTAATTGGCTCGGAGCCTTTTGAATGAATGTTTGACGATTCTCTCTGCCGGTTTTCTCCAGTGTGTTCGCAGGCTGCCAGATCCCCTACCCCAAGAGGGAGTTCCTGACGGAGGAGGAGCCGGAGGACAAAGCAGAGAAAGTAAGAAATGTAATCAAAGCGCTTTCATTACTTTCCAAACATACAAAATGGAATCATTTTAATAAAGACAGTCAAAAAATAACACATGCAGTCCAATGTTCTTTTGTCATTTTATACTAGAAAAACCAGCAGCAGCAACAGGGGAACAACCACACTAATGGGGCGGGGCACACAGGTAACCAAGACAACAGCCACACCCAGGGCCCGCCTCTGAAGAAAGTGCGAGTCGTCCCCCCCACCACTACCTCAGGTGGCCTCATCATGAACTCAGACTACCAGGTAGGGGTCTTCTCCGTCAACAGAAAATACACATTACTTTGTTTCTATTTAAGTCATATTATACTGTACGTATTATTTTTCGGGTATATCTATATTTCTCTTATATTATTTAGTTTTTCTTACAATGTATCATCTTTAACTGTGTTTATATATGCACCATATACAACAAGGACAATTCCTCATCTGTGTAAACCTACTTGGCAATAAACTTGTTTCTGATTCAAAATCTACATTTGCATTTTACCACAGTTGTGAGGGGCTGGAAAAGGCATGAAAGTGTTTGCTAAGTCCTTGAATTTGACCTTGGAAAAAGTGCAGGAGCCCTGTGCAAACTTAAGAGACCGAATCTAAGAGTGTTCTTTAATGTCTTCTGGTTTTCGTTCTCCCTCGTCTTGTTTTGCAGCGCTCCAATCCACACGCTGCCTACCAGAACCCTGGACCAAGCACATCACTGCCCCAAAGCAGCATGGGATACTCCTCGACCTCCCAGCAGCCGCCGCAGTACTCCCACCAGACCCACCGCTACTGAGACACCCCTCCCACACACACACACACACACACATATGCAATCATACACATATATACGCATACACAGCCCTCACCCTGCCCATCTGAAAGAATGTACTGAAGGATGTGGTGGGGATGTCCAAGGCAACAAACCCCCCCAACGTACAGAGGGCACTTTCTCTTCAGCAGGCTGTCAGGTCAGCACTTCTTCAAGATAACACACATTTCCCTGGTGTTAGAACATGACTTTTAGAGCAACACCTGCAGGGTGAAACACAAGGGGGAAGAGCGGCACTTTGGAGTCCAACCTGTTTCTGTTACCTGTCTTAATCAGACCAGCCGAGAGAAGATGGCTTGGTTTTTCTTTTGGGGGGGGACACACACACACACACACGTCTGCTGTGTCATCTCCTCCCCTCTTCTTCTTCACCTGTCTCCACACCCCCACCTTCCCCAGCCATTTACCTTCTTCCCGTTGGAGCTTGGATGAGACTAAGAGCTGCTATGTGACTGCCAGCGGTGACAGATTTCCTGTTCGACTGTCCTCCCGTCTGTCCTCCTGTCTATCTGTTTCATTTTGTGTGTGAGGGCTCAGCTGAGGACTGAACTGAGCTGCTGTGATGCATTCTGGGAGGGTGTGGAGCCCCCACAACTGTGATGGTTTTTGTTCAGAAGGACAAAAAAAGAGGATGACAACAAAATATTTTAGTAGTTAATTTAATCAGTTTTCATGGTTTTGTTTTTAACGGCGAGCGTGTCTGAGCGCTCAGCTGCTGTACGCTGTGGGCTAGACGTACTACATGATGACAAAACCAACCAATCGCATGGAGGATGGCAGACGGGACATGCATTACTGTATTGTATTGAAATATTTTACATGAAGCAAGTATCCTGACAATAAAAGTGGAAACATTGATATTATTGTTTGTACGTGGAAGAAAGGAACTGAGTAATGCAAACTGTTTTCCTCTCGCACCGGCAATGACATCCTTTTTGTTGTTGCAATTCCTACTTCACAAAGCTAGAACTGCTTATTATTTCTCAATATTTCAGTTTGTCTTAATAGTTTGCAAGAAATGTGAATGCATTTGCTGGATGGTTTTTGTGATAATCTATACACTACACAGGAAGGCTCTCCATTTTTCAGACACCACAATGTCCTTTTCTTTCATTGACCCTTTGATATGTTGCAATCTAAGTTATTTTAAGACAGCAGGCTTTAAGCTACAGGGCTGCACCACTGCACCACGTCATTACACAGTCAGTCACATACATGTGTGCTTTGGCATTCATGGCTAAATCAATTATATATGTTAAACTGGCAGCTGTATAACAAATGCAGGCAGTAGCTTTCCCCCTTGTCCAGGAATATCAGTGCATTTTCAATAATGAAAACTCCCTTTCTAGTGGACTCAACCCAGACTACTGTCGAGAGACTATTCTCTGCTCCCTTTCCCTGCTTAGATGTCTCCCATTCCCCTCTCGCTTTTTGTCTACAAACACACCTAGGAGAGTTAATATCTATGTATTGCAAGTTCTCTTTTTGAACCTTTTCCTGCAGGATGCTGACCAGCTATTTCAGTCTGTTACACAATACTATCCCAGCTCAGTCTCAGCATCACTGTATGGAGCATGTTTCTAAGCTCCTAAAAAAACTCTAGCTCCCACTTCTCTGCCTTATCTAAATAGGTCTGCAAAATCCCCACAGGCTCAAAAAGATTTTAATATTTTTGACAAGGAATGGGACCTATCTTTTAGCGTAAAAAAACAAACCCTAGTTAATCTCTTCAGCAACGCCCAACCGTAGCCCCGCCCCTTCCATTCGCAAACACCGCTTCCGAGCTGGGGAGTCTCCCTGTCACTCATTCGGTTTACGCGAGACCATTGGTTAATTCCAACGTCAATCATGTGTTAAATCCCCAGTCCGGTGATGTGATTGGTGAATGTAGCGCGGTGGGCGTGTCGTCGTCCTCAAAGGATTGTTTCCCCGGAGTGGCCAGACGGCTGGGGGACACAGGATGGAAGAGCTAATAGGAGTATCTAACGGGACATGCGGACGGGCTGATTTCTTCTAATATTTCAAGTGCTGGTGAGGGTCTTATTGTACTTTTTACAACCGCTAATGACAGCTTTTATGTTAATATTGAAATGTGTGTGGCAATGTCTGCTGAGTGTAGTCTAATTGGTCCATAATAACTCGACCACTGGACGAGCTAACCGAGTGGTCAGTTAATACGGACCCCCGGTGAAGGATAATAAGCCGACTCTGGGTGACCAAAACCCGCCTTAAATAGTCAATATTCTCCCCGCTGCTGGTTCACTTTAGTACCTTTTTTGACTCAATAATAGATATTGGGTTGTGATGTATCTCTGCAGAAAACGGCGGGTTGAAATTATGATTAAAACTGGCAGAAATTCCCGAGAACCGAGGGCGTAGGAGCAGATGTGGGTCAGTCCATCAGTAACGGGAAGCGGCGGTGCGGAACACTGATTGATCGTGGTTGCCATTAGTTCACGCGTGTGTGTGTGTGTGTGTGTGTGTGTGTGTGTGCGTGTGTGCGCGCGTGCATGTGTGTGTGTGAATCAGCATGTGGAGAGGACAGAAAGGGAGTGTGTGTGTACTGTGTATGTGTGTGTGAATTAGTCATTTTAAAACATCAAAAAGACTACAGTGTAATAACTTCACAATGACATTCATGTGGTGATAATGAGAGAATATTCTGATTGTCATAATGAAATCCACTAGCAAAAATATCATTAAAATCTTTCTGCAACTATTGAATATCAATTAATAGATTTTCCACGTTTTAGATTAGTAGATTATGGATTTATCAAATGGCAAAATGTATATAAAAACGTAAAACATAAAACTCAATGTGGGAAGTAGTTATAGCATCAGCTTGAAATATATTAAATTGATGATGTCATGACGAAAAACTGCAACTGTCAAGCATGTACTGTTTTAAATATCTGCTTATTGCATGTTTTAATACATGATATCCTCTTCTACAGAAATAATCAGCTATTTAGCCCATTGTATCTCCATTAGGATTATAACCGTTTTGGGGTCGTGTTTGCATTAGGCCGGTATTTGGGTAAATTAATCCTGCAGATTTACTCAACAGATAATAGGATTGGGAGATCTGTTTGATGGAATTGAATATTTTCAGATATCAACAGAAAATAGGGCAAATGTACGTAAAAAAACACATAGTTGGTGTTCAAAATGTCAGTGTTAGTAAATGATAGAAAGACAAGATTATATCATGTTACGATGAGCTAACAGTCAACCTTTCAAATGTTATTTTGCTGCTAACTGAAGGCTAAAGTTATTGTTAAACTGCCGAAAGGATTCAGTGGATAATATTACCCAGAGTGCCTCAGTGTTTCACTACCCTGCCCTGAGTAGTATTGGGACGAGGTGAGGTTCCTGGACAGGCACAGTGTCTCGGCAGAATCTTTTTTTTTTACGTCATATTTAGGGCAGTGTGACCTGACGTAATCCAGCCTGCATTATTCATCACATCAGAGCCTGCACACAAGAAGCTGTACCCGGCTCATGCATTCATAATGACTTGCCTTTCAGATTTTAATGGAGTTCTCTCATCTGTAGTAAAGGCCTGGCAGAGAGGAAGACCCTGAACCTGCATGTCACCCCTCTGAGGATCTACTGTAGTCTACATGCTGCTGATGTGACCTTTTAAAGGCTACCTGGTGTGTTTGTGTACATGTTTGGGTGCCTAACTTGAGTTGTATGAATTAAGCATCCTAACACATGAGTGAGAATGTGTGTCGGCTAATACTCTCTGGTGTCTCTGGATTATGTCCGGGCTTTACTCTCCCCTCTCTTTCTCCCCCGTGTGAGTGAAGGAGCGTTCATTGCAAGAGGACTGGGGGCCTTAAAGAAGGTCGAAGACGAGGAGGAGGAGGAAGAGGAGGGGGGAGGATGCATGGGAGAGCTATTGCTGTTGCCGTGTGAACGAAGCTCTATTGTCCCGGGAACCTTTCACAGTGGCTTCCCCGAGGTCCCTGTTCATACCCCTCCCCCACCCCGTACACCCTTTCTCCCTCACAAACACAAACACACAGTTTTTCCTCCAACACAGCTTTTTCTCACACACTGTCTCACTTTTATCCCACTCGGTGACCCTCCACTTTCCCCTCATTTCTCACAAGCAGACCTTCCTCCCTCCTTCCCTCCTTCTTCCTTCTTCTTCTCCCCCCCTTCAGTTGCTCATTATTTCACCTCATTGATGTGATGGTCATGCCAGCCAGCCAGACAGTAAAAGCAAAAACATGCAATCTTCTCATTTGCATCCCCCCCCTCTTATATGAAGTAGCACAGTGTTTCTAAATGCTGAATTAAGAGGCCTGTAAGCCAAGCCTCATTGATGCATTCAGGGTCCTTTATGGCTGTGCATGATGGTGTCATTTAACCCTTTGTTTTCTCTTATTAGCGAGGGGCCGTTGGGGTTTGTAGGGGGTCGCTAGCTTAGATAACGGGGCCAGATGAGGACGCGGCTGGTGGGAATATGCGTTGGCGAACAGAAGTGTGTTTTCTCGTGCTGAGACACTGATAGCACTGCTACTTGCTTCGTCTGTCGTCTGTGTTAGTGTAATGATGATGTAACCAGAGTACTCAGAGTCTTTACTTGAGTAAAAGCACTAATACCACACAGTAGAAACACTTCATTTCAACTAAAAGTACTGCATTAAGTAACCTCATTAAGTAAAAGTATGTAAGAAGGATTAGGGAAATGTTCTTCAAGGAGTCCCTGTAGAAAACATCTCTAAAAATCTAAATTGAAAGCAGCAAATCTTCACATTTAAGAAGCTGGAACTGCCAACACATTTATTTTCTAATAATCTTTTCTATTAACACACTTTTAGTTACTTAAATATCATGTAGGATGGCTTCATCTATACCAAATTGTCATCATAATCATGTATTTTCCTAAGTATTGTGTGTCAAAATCAGAACATAGAGAGTAACTACTAAATACATCCATCCATCTTCTCCCGCTTATCCGTGGTCGGGTCGTGGAGGTATCAGTTCCAGCAGAGAGCCCCAAACTTTATTTTCCCTGGCCACATCAACCAGCTCTGACTGGGGGGTCCCAAGGCGCTCCCAGGCCAGCGAAGAGATATAATCCCTCCACCTGGTCCTAGGTCTACCCCTTGGTCTCTTCCCAGCTGGACGTGCCTGGAACACCTCCCAGGTGGCATCCTAACTAGGTGCCCGAACCACTAAATACATCTGTAAAATAAATATAGTGGAGTCAAAAGTACAACATTTTTCTTCCAAAAAGAAGAGAAGAAGTATTTAGTATAAAAGGAAAATACTCTACTAGTATAGCTCACTCTTTTGACTCTTGTTAGCCACTAAGAAGGTATATATATATATATATATATGTGTTATTATTGTGTTATAAAACGTTCTTCCCGTCTACTTTCTGTGATCATAAATGAATATCTGCAGGCTCCAACAAACATGGTTGTATTTCTAGTACCTGCCGTCTATTATTAGCTCCCTGTCACACTGCCAGAGCCCCCGTGTCTCTCCAACCTGCTTTTCTTGGAGTGACTTTTCATCTTTCTTTTGCACCAGAAGGAAAGTATGGAACTGCAATCAGCATCAGTGCATCTAAAAACGTTTTGAGCGCGTTTCCATCTGCTGCTCGCTGCATTGTTCAGACAGGAAGCGGAGACAGGGAGGAAACAGGAGAGCCAGGTCGAGGCGCACAAACAGGAAGCAGGAAGAGGCTCAGATAAGATGGCTGCTCTGATGCACCTTGGGAATGATCCTGCTCTGGGGAATAGTTTGTAGTCTTTTTGAACTACACAGAGTGCCTGGTTTAAGAAGCAAAGTTCCGAGTGGGGGTAAACATGTTTTCACAGATAGGAAACTGCTCGGCGTTCCAGTTTTTGGGAGCGTGTCCATGATCTGTGTGTTTGTGTCAGGGTTCCAGCTGGGCGTCTGACAGGCCGGCCGCGGATAAGCTGCCATCTTCCTCTCTCTAATGCTTTAATCTCTGCTGGTCGCAACGAGTCATCTGGCTCTGGGACCCTGCTGGTCATCACTCTCAGTCCCCCTAACACCCGCTCACCCCATGTTTCTACGTACTTTATACACAGGAAGAAGCTATAAGCACTATAAGCTCACAATGCTTTCCTTTATGACAAGAGCAGCAACGCAAATAAATGAATATATAGAGAGGATATGGACGTAAACAGGGAGTTCATATTTATTGCAGGGTTATATTTTTGACTTCATACGGGCATTCACGCAGGGGCAACTAGAGTTCGGTGTTGCAGACAAATCAAGCGTTGTTACTCAGTATTCATTATGATTATTGTGTCTAATAGCTGCTGCTTATTTCTTTTTAAAACAGGCAAATCATTTGAGAGAATTTGACATGTTAACTGTATTTAGGCCTTTAAAAGCCAGACAAGAGTTTGATCAAAACAAATAGAAAATGTCTTCAATTGAAGATGATAAATTGAGGACATTCTTGTCTATTTTTATTCATTTATTTATCTGTTTTGCAAATTAATTGTAGCCTCTTTACATGGGAAATTTGAGTTTTGTTGGATCATACTAACCATTTCAATATATAATTTTTCTTCCTATTCCTATAATTTTCTGACATTTTAAAGAACAAACAATTCAGTAGTTAATTTAGAAAATAATCTGTAAATTAGTCCAGCCTTAATTTGATAATGAAAATCACCAACATCTAGCCTCTTATCACAACTCTGTGTTACATTGATATATGTCCCCCTCACTCTGGCAGATGTGTGCAGTGTGTGTCCACAGAGTGGGGGACGGCTGTCATGCTCATGAACATCAGATGCAGTCAGCCGGCATCTGGCACGCTGCTCCCCTCCATTCATCCTCTGTAAGCAGTGTGTAAAACTGTGTGTGTGTGTGTGTGTGTGTGTGTGTGTGTGTGTGTGTGTGTGTGTGTGTGTGTGTGTGTGTGTGTCTGCAGTGTGTGACGGTGTGAGGCCTCGCCATGCAGCGGCATGGCGAGGCCTCACACCGTCACACACTGCAGACACACACACACACACACACACACACACACACACACACACACACACACACACACACACACACACACNTAATGGTAAAATCAATTTGATATCAATGGTAAAATCAATTTGATATCAATAGAATAATACCAAAAAAAGTAAATAAAATCCCTATTTTAAATGTTATATTTGACATGCAAGTTGGTCACCAAGAATGTTCGAGAGCTATTTGATAATTTAAATAATATTTTGAAACCACTTTTTCTACAACTTTATATACATTTTGTCTCAAGGCAAGTATGTTTAACACAACAAGTGCATGTTTTAGCTTTTTGGGCATGGATTATTCGATTTTTTATATGGGGGACATGAAATGTCCTCCAATTCTGGAATGACCCTTATATCAGATTGCAGGCCTTACCTTCATGGTGAAGCTCCTCCCACAGCCAGCGTGCGAGCAGCTGAAGGGCTTCTTGCCTTCATGCTCTCCCAGCACATGACTGTCCAGGTTAAAGCCACGAGTGAACGTTTTATCACAGCCGTTCCTGATGCACGACAGCATCCACTTGTCTTCACAGTGGACACGCAGCTCGTGCTGTTGTTTGAACCAGGCGTTGTTAGACAGCTTGATGCACTCCCCACAATGCACCTTGACTAAAAAACAATAAGTATTAAACACAAGTGCAATGTGAGTCATATGAACACTTTGCAGCATTACTCGTACCTTTATGTTCTTTTCTGTGCTTCAGATATGCTGTCCACGTCTTTCCCTGAAAAGGACACGCTTCATTCTCACAACCTGCAGAAGAGAGTTTTGTTAAAAACACACAAATAAAAAGGAATCAAATCTTTATGGTTATCAACCAACCTTCAGGCACTTTCTCATGATGCTTCAGCTTTCGGAGGGAGAGAAATTCTCTTGTGCAGCCACTGACAGTACAACTGCATTAAAAGATAAATAAAAGATCAGATGTGACATCGCCAAGGAGGACAGATACTATTGCGTCAGACGTGCAAGCTACTCACGGAAAAGGCAGAATCCAGGTGTTCATCCAGATGGGCTTTCAGTTGGTTCTTCTTGCTGAAATCCTTTCCACAGCCCTTATGGTCGCACTAAAACAGAACAATGAGCAACACTACATCATCACAGTGAACCCAAACCTATGTGTGATAAAGATACAATGGCTATTTGTAGGATTATTTTACTCTCTATAGCCTATCCTTGTGCTGGTGAACCCGAGCCATGTGGTTCTTCATGCTAGTGTATGTCCCAAAGCCTTTGGAGCATTCATCAGCCAGACACCTGGAGACCAGAGAGGGTAAGAGTTCAAAGCAAAGCCAAGGTTACATTGTATTATAACCATGGCATTTAAAATAGGGAACACAGCGGCTTACTTGTGTGATTGTGCTGATGTCTGCTGAGTTGATAGCGAGCGCTAAAGCTCTTGTCACATTCCTCACATCAAAAGGGTTTCTGAGATTTGGGGAAACATATGTCACATTACTCCACTTTCTCATGTAACTTCTTCTGTTTGGCCACTTACCAATCCTGTGTGTTTGCAAAGATGAGCGTCAAGCCTCCATGACTTACTGAAGGCAGCTTTACAATCTAAAAAAAGAACAAACTAAGCTTTTGTGACTTTGCAACCTCTCCACCTTTAATAAGAGATGTTAGATGTTGTGTTTTGGTCACAGACAAAGCTATAGTTGTAAAGGGGCAGGACATGTACTGACCTCCAATGCAGCAGCACCACTGACTGCGCCTAATTTAACTTATTGGGGTGTACCAATTAAAGGAGGGACGGGGGTGTCCTACTCCACTGAAACTGAAAAATATGCAAGCATTTTTACTACGACAAATGGATATTCTTTTTTTAGACACTTGTGCAACATATGATAAGAAGATTTGGGCCCCTGAGTGTAATCCCATTGATACTCAAACGTTATAAATGTCCATGACTCTTTCCTCCACATTGATTGATTCAGGCTCTAAAAATGTCACCTTGGCTCCTTCAGTGTGTTTCCCTATCTGCTGATCTGCTGTGCAGGGAGAGAGGCGACTGTCTGTCTCGATTAATCACACACACACACACACACACACACACACACACACACACACACCAAGAATTTACTGCTCTAATCTTAATCTTATCAACCCTCCAATATTGTTTTCTGATAGGTGTGATTTATTGTCAGAAAGTAGACTTCAGTGAGATCCTTTGAGACCAACAAAACTGAAACTAAATCAACCTTTCTAAGCCTTTAAGCATTCACAAAAAGACCGATATTTCACAACTAAAGATACTTGTGAGGTTTGATGACCAGTAGCTAATGTTTGCTACTGTTAGCTTACTTTAAGAACATGGTAAGACACATTAGTTTGTTTCTTTGGTCACTTTATGACACTATTTCAGCTAAATGCTAAACAATGTCACATTAAAGCTATGCTAACTTTAGCTAAACAGTAGCCACTGTAGCTGCAATTGACAATAATAGTAAATGCTTAAAAAGCTGTATAAGTAGCACAAGAAGAACAGTCATAAACCAGCTAAGTGACTCAGTAACTGACTCATGGAGCAACATATGTCTAAGGTTAACTAACATAAGCTAACTTTAGCTGCTAATAAACTACTGGTAGTATATGTACTGTATTCATATATAGGTCGAAGACTATTTATTTCTTCCTTTAAAAGTTAAAGTCAATCTGAATGCTGAAACTGTCATTTAATTTAATAAGAAACTTAGCTTTTAAACTTCTTAAGGCATTAACGGTTAGCCTAAATGCTAAAACATTCTGTAAGAATATCACAACAGAGATGTCATTGTCAACAAATCAAATAGTTAGCATTGTCTGCAAGAGAGCTAAATCCATTTCAACCCTTTTATAAAATGTTTAAATTAGCTAAGACATTTTTTGTATACAATACATCCATCTACCAGACAGGGTGTATTGAATTGAGCAAGGTATGTCTGCCTGTTTACGAATTCCACTTTTCATAAAACCAATTTTTTTTTACATAGACTTGCTTTAGAGCCATTCTTAGGTGCTGTTGGAGAAAGACAAAGACACTGACAATCCAATAACACTATCTGCTTGTCCAAACATTGGAGATCACCCTCTGAACCCGTGCCATGCTCTCATGTGAAACCTTTGACTGAGTCCTGTGAATGAGGCCTATTGAGAGCCTGTTGGGCGTTACCTCGCTGCCCTCCCACGCTTCAGGTAAGCCAGCCTGGGTCAGTTGACAACATTATCAGCCTCTCCTCATCCGGTCCCCCCACCTCAGGGCCAGGATCAATACAGCTGGCCAAATATCCACATATATGACCATGCCTGCCCCCTCTCTGATAACCAGACTCTATCACCCCACCTATCACAGATACAGCATGCACTCTGTTTGGCCTGTAGCGGGATCTCCTTGAGCCTTTGTCCAACCTCCAGGCCTTTCCCAAACACACACACACACACACACACACACACACACACACACTGTTCACACCCACGATTTCATCACAAATATGAGTTTTTAGACCACTGAGGGCTTTTTTTCTACAAATAGGGGCCTTGGAGGGGGCCAAGAGAACAGATCTTAAACGGTTTGTACATCCAAATCATAAAGTAACATTTTCTAATTTACCTCCTTAGGTTTTTTTTTAAACAATTCGTATATTTAACATAATTTCAGGGGAACTATTGTACTTTTTACTCGACTTTCTTTTTAATTAAATAGTCCCTATGTTTAAACTGACTACATACAAGGTACTTATTAAAACTTTGCGCACAAACCTAAGAGCTAATAAAATAAGAAAAAACACAAGAATAGCTCAACAAAAAAACAATAATAGGAATAATAAGGGCTTTAAACATTTCCAAAAGCCCTTTACTATTGTAACACTTTCCATTCAGCATACCTTTACTTTTGATATTTGTTGTGATAGATCTGGTGCCTTTTCTTGAAATTGAGTATTTAAATATGAGCTTTCGAACCTATAGTCCCTTTTACCATTCATGTTCCACATAACACACTGCCAACCATTTTCTGAAGGACTATTACTTATAGAAAATATCTCCAAATAAAGGTAATGCTGAAGTCTGTGAATTATGTCGATTAACCAAATGTTTCTGGAAATTCAAAAAGCTTTTTTAACTGCTTGAATGTCACAAATGTAATCCCTAATGTCCTCAGAGAAATCTCAGACACAATCTAGGCACTGAAACTGGCCTTGAAATAGATATTTGACTCGATAACATTACAGATTATTGTAAGAAAATCTGGATGAACCTATCCTTTAAATGAAGTGAGATCAGTGGAAATCATTTCATAAAGTGCCACATTTCCACACTCTTGCATCAGTGGTGTCCACATCCAATGATCTGTTTGTGTGTGTGTGGTTAATGTGTAACACCGCAGGTCGATACGGCTGCTGGCTGAGCTGACAGACTCAATCTGTGTGTGTCAAACGTGTGTGATTAAAGAGTTCATAGTGCTCCACGGCTTTTATCCACCATCATCTTCCCTCCCTCTGGCCGGCTTTCTCTCTCCCTCTCCTTCTCTGTTTACTTTGTCCTGCTTCAATCAGTAACCTCCATGAGTCAGTGTATCTGTGAAAACACACACACAAAGGGCTTACTGTAGATGTAAAGGCAGGATTATGGTATAAGAAGAACGCTGAAAAGACTTGCAATCCACATTTTCGCTCATTTGATCAGTTTTCTACCTAAAAAAATGGGAATACACAGAAATATAGAGGGACTTTCCACCTTATCTCAATACCACAAGCCAGATCCAGATCAATACCAAGGGCTTTGGCTGCCACCCGCTCTTTGATTGATTGCATTTTATTTTTCCATCTGTGTTTTCCTGGTTCTCCTCAGGTTGTTGGATACTTATTACTCCGTCCTGATAAGAGTTGTGTATGAGTTATCTGACCTGAGGCCTGCAGGGTTATGAAGGTGAAGAAAGACGACCGCTGCAGGTTTATCTCAACACCATTGTCCAGGAGGAGATTACATCATCCATTTAGTCTTTCCTCTTTTGTTAAATGATTTCACTTACTATATACTCCAAGAAAATGCAAGTGATGCATCCAGAGAAATGGAATATCATCCTAGAATTGATTCACTGTTGGCCTTCCCGCTCCTGACCACACACACACACACACTTCACGCTGTCAGCTGCTCCCTATCTCTGTAAACTGGTCCTAATTCGTGTCAATATTGGGTAAAGTACTGAGGTGCGATGAGATAACCTATTTGTCACATAACCAGCCAGCCATTCAGCCTCCACTGATTAAACAGCACACATCAAGTGGTCCACACACACACACACACACACACACACAGCGTGACAGGCAGCTCATAAACACACACAGGTATGACTAATTGATTTTATATTTTTATCTAGAGGAAAATACTATAAAATGGATATAGGCAACTTAACAATAAAATAATTTTAGCGATGTCACCTTAAAGGAAAAACTACTATAACTATTATCTTAATCTAATTCACTAAAAACGACAGGAAGGTTAACAAATGCATGTAATGCCCATGATGGCACATGAATTGCTTTGACATGCCTAAATTGGTTTCATATTCTGTACATATTCAGCTATCTTAATTGTTACATGTGAATCCAACTTTTTAAAATTGACACCGACTTCCCTTAATGTTTTTATAAATCAACATTAAGCGAGTATTCAGTAAAATATTGTAGATATTGTTTTTATATTAGATTTGGTGTTCGGGTCGGGAACAACTAAATGAAGGACAATGATGATTATTCCAAGCTTAACATGTCCTGGTGCACACTGCCCCCTAGTGTACAATCACAGTCACTACCTTGGGGAATCCGACTGTTTTAATCGATGCAATTTACTGTGCAGACATCACCTTCATTCAAAGTCTATCAAAACATAAGGTGTATCAGGTGCCAGGCATTGAGCATGACAATATCATTTAAATAATTTCCCCAGACTGGGATCAATAAGAGCATCTCCAATTTGATGTCGTATTTTAAGCAACTCTAGTCCCATTTATAACCAAATAATTGATACTTACAGAATATAAGTATTGTTGACACAAGTCTGTTATGAGAAAAACTGCCACAAAAATAAATAAATGTGTGTTACCCAATAAAGGCTGTTTTTTTCCTTGAGGATTAGGATATTGACACATATCGCAGAAATGCACTAGAGCTGATTATTCAAGACGTATACAGTAATAAAAAGGCTTTACAGACGCATGAAGAAAGTTAAATAAATACCGTTAAAGCTTTAGTTGGTGCTCATGATCGGTGAGCCTATAGTGAGACTAGAGAACTGAATGTAAAATGCTTGTGCCACGTGAGCTGGTCACTCAGATCGCCGGTGAAATGTTAAAGAGTGTTTGATTTCATTGAGTAATCAAAGGAGGAGGATCATCAGCACATCATGACACTTTAAAAAAAGAAATACAAGTGTGAACAGATGACAACATGACCACCAGTGTGTGTACAAATGTTTTTATTTTCATCAGCATTTATGCCATGAACTCATAGGGGATGGGCTCCAGCAGCTGGGGCACGTTCTTCTTGGTGCTGATGAACTTAGCCTCACGGGGAGCTTGTGGCTGTGGAGACAAGAGGGCATTTCAGATGATGCACTTATAAGGATAAAGACTAAAAATGCATTAAATATGACAACAAATGAACAACAATGGTTGTAAATACAGTCAAAGCCCACAATTTCTGTTTTTTCCATTCATAATTCCAGAAATGTAATATTAGGCTTTAAATTGTAACTGGTTTCAGTTTGATGTACACTACAGTGGATCGTAAATCACTGCGTCTTAAAGAGTATTTTTAAGACACTTTGATGGGAAATCGAGATGTCACTGAATTGGGCTTAATGTCTCACCTGTCTCTTCAGCTCGATCCAGCTGCCGTTCTGCTTGGCCTCCATCTTCCTGGCCTCGTTGGCTTTGACGCGCTGCAGGAAGCTGTCCCTGCTCTTTGAGTGCTTCACATGCTCAATACGCACGTTGATCCTCTTGGCCAGGATCCTTCCCCTGTAAAGTACAACATAAAGTTAATAACGCAAAAAAGGAATCGACATGTTTCAATGAATGCATTCCTCTCTTCTGTCTCCTCGACACAGACCCAGGTCAAACAGGAGTTTGGATGGGGTGCTTAAGGATGAAAATACTTTTCCCCATCTGAATGACCACTGAAGGACACGAACAATCCAGGTGGCAAAGTGAAAATGGGGGTCACATCCCTCTTAAGTTCGAGATAAGGAATCTAAACATGTACAGCACAATTAGATTGAAGCCATTACGTTCTGAAGGATGGAGGTGTCTAAGTGGTAAACCTGCTGCCTGATGATCTATCCTAAGTACTCAAGGTCAATAACTAACCTCAACCAAGAGGTATGGTTAAGAAAATGCTTCCAAACATTTCACCAATTAGAGATCTGTGAAAGACTGATCTGTCTAAAAGTGGCTTGAGACCACAGAGAAACATAAGGCATGTAATCCCCTGTGAGGGTCATGACAGGGCATATGCAGGAATCCTGAAGTCAAATGTAATACTTTTTAAGACCCCGCGGACACCCTGCATGATGCCAACATTGTTACTTGGATTCACACCTGAGATACAGATCAACAAATCACAAACTATGTACACTTAAGTCCTTTTGGTGTGCTCAAAGTCACATTAGTGTACACTCCAAAATAAAAATGCCGCCTCCTACTTACTTGACCTGCTTGTTGACAATGATGCCGACAGCATGTTGGGTCACGTTGTACACACGGCCTGTCTTGCCATGGTAGCACTTATGGGGCATTCCTTTCTGGATGGTACCTGTGCCCTGAAGAAATTAAAAACATAACATTTTAACAATAAGCAACAAGTCTATTTTTGACTTGAAATATCGACGAGGATCTTCACATTAGAATACTAGGAATATTAAAATGTAGTGTTTTTGTAGTGTGGCCCACAATAACTACGCATTATGTTAAACCATGAATGCATGTTTGGTGACTCAATTCTGTTTAACTTACTGATCACCAAAAACAAAAGTTACTTGTGAACTCATATGCCGACTCTTACCTTGATATCAACAATATCGCCTTTCTTGTAGATGCGCATGTAAGTGGACAGAGGAATTGGGCCTGTGAAGTAAATTCATGCAATTATTGTTTTGAATGTGTAAAGAATTGTTACAAAAGCCCAATGTTTTCCTACATCACATTAATGAAAGCGAAATGAACCCAAAGCATGGTAAAGCTTCTGATTCAACAAGTACTCACCATGTTTGCGGAACTGTCTGCTGAACATGTACCTCGTCCCCCTCCTCTTTCCTCTGGTGTTCGTCATGATGCCTGATTACTGAGAGAAAATGGACATCAGTTAGTCATTATAGAGCCTTAACATTTACCTGTAATGTAAACCTATTATTAAATATAGAAAGAGGGAACGTCAATTACATCTATCCATCATATAATCTACTATATTTGAATCTCAATGTGGCACATGAGAAACTACTGTAATGACAAGTCACACTCAAGTCAGCTGGCACACAGAATAGAAATAAGATCGTTAGTAGTTTGACATCTAAGGAAGAAGTGAATTAAATCAAAAGTGGTGCATTATAATCTTAAGCATGCACATAGTGTTTTTGATCCATCACAATGTGGCACTGCTGCCAATTGTAACGACTGAGTTTGAGAAGATATGCTAACGATAAGGCTAGCAACAGACTACATGTCCAAGTAGAGGCAGCATTAGCAACTAGGCAGCACTGTAACGTTATCTGCAGTGTAAAGCATGCCAAAGAAATCCGCTTTAAGTTATTTAACAGCGGAGATAACAGGGTTTTAGTGGAAAAACACTGTTTCTGCTATCGTTTCTCTGTCTGCCAGGCCCGCATGGAGAGCCACGCTGCTCGTGCCTCTCACATTCAACGCTAAATATCACAAGTGTTACGCTTTTCGACGCACTGTTACTCCACTGATATTTAAGAGAAGAGCTAACACGCATATATGGATGTAACTGTGTTGGAATGATTTGAAAATAAAGTAGAAAATAACAATTAACACGGAGAGGATCTTACCCCCGGTCTCTACAAGATGGCGGGTATGGCGAAAAGAGAGACTGAAAGACCCCAAACTCCGCCTTGTGAAATACTGTCAAGGCAGGCTACACTAACGCCTGAACAGAAATAATGTGACGTTAACGAAGGGAACAAGTACAACAGTCAGTCGGCCTTTCACAAATTACAACAATAACTTAAGTTCAATTTCCTGTCGATAATTGGTCCTAAATCAGTTCTGATCCATAACATTTTTGTGATTTTCTGTATACTTTGTACGTTGGTGCAAACCGTGCAAACACCATTCAAAGCCACATGATGCGCATGCGCGAAACTTCAAGAAGGCTATCCTTTATTTTCTCTTGATGATAGTAACTTTAGCCATTATTTTAACGATTTTTAATATGCCACTGAGCTTTTCTCATTAGGTGAGAAAAGACATTTGTGGTCCTTAATAAAGCTAATCCACTTAATTATCCTGAAGAAGCAGAGGGGGAAAACAACTAGCATTGAATGCTCTGGATGTGTAAAGAGAACTGGGACTTTGTTTACATATAAAGTAATACAGAAAATATATTAAATAAAAGTTTCATATTTCAGACTAAATATTTGTTGAGTACAGAATTAGTTTTGATTCTGAATGATGAATTTCATTACATTCATAATGTTTTTAATAGTGCTACTATTCATGAAGCCCCAAATGGAGCGACTGTAGGTTCAGAAAGTACCCGGATTATCCGGGGCCCTTTTGCTTACAGCGCATGCGCACTAGAGTTTTCCTTAAACCCCAGCTCAGTCAAATGAAAGGAGGGATTGCAGGGAAGTATTTTGTCTTAAATTACTTTTTAAATGACATTTTAGTTAAACACATCTTTATCCTCTGGAGGCTTCTGGAAACTCAACACTCAGTGCTTAAAATACCGATTTAATGCATTCATTAATTCAATTAAGAAGTTTAACCAATTCAGATAATGAAATACTGGAAACATTAAAACACAGGATAAAACACTTCTTTAAATGTAAAGGTAGATAATTAAATAAAGTAAAAAAATACAAGTTTTCAGCGCATTTTAGAACTTTGAGACCCTACTGATTTAAACAAGGGCTATACAAGTGTTCGTGCTGGGTCGTTTATTTATCTAAAAAAACAGTAGACGTTGATTTACAGACGTCTCTTTACTAATGTAAGTCAAAGGGAAGAAGTATATATTGGGGCCAAAATGACGTCACGGTGGATGTAGTACCAGCGTTTGGCCACTACGGTCATTTACACAAATCTGCTTCAACGGCCAGCGCACTTCCTGGGGGCACGAGGGGAACCAGCCTAGTTTTGTCAGCGCGCGGCGGTGGTTGAAGATGGCGCTAGCCGAATGGAAATCCTAATGACAGTCTCCAAATTTGCCACTTTTTGTACCATGGTGAGTTCACTACAGCCTTTACACTGATATTATCAAGTCTACGGAATGATACGGAAACAATGTTTGGACTCTTATGGGCGTTTTTACCGTGTGTGATTATAAATAAGAGCAGATCATTCGGTGCTAGCCAAGCAGATTTCATAGCTAAAGGCGAGCAGCCATTCTCGGATCTGATCTCTATTAGCTTATATCAGGGACGTCAGATTGGGACTCTTTACTGTTAATAAACGCATACCTTGACTACTTGTTTGGTTTAATATGTATCACAGCCTCTTTGAGAGCAGTGACATTGCACCTGCTGCAGCTGAGGTTCACAGAAGCTAAGTGGCTAACGCGAAGCGATAAAGCTACACCAATCTTACATCCTGCCAACAACTGGGAAACAGCTGGATAATTATTCACTTCACACCGGAAGGCGATTCATCTGCAGTTTGTGGAGCAAAACAGTGGGAAAATAGGCTACATTTACATGTTGGCCTTTACTACCAGATATTATGTACGCAGGCTATGACGACATGGTTTATCTGCGCAGCTCCATGTCCACTCTGCAGTTTGTTGCTGTCCAGAGACTCTGTTAACCCTTCATAAATCATTGAGGGGGAATGCGTTTACACACAAACAAACCCCGGGTCCTCTGCTAAGGTCAATAAACATCGACGTCTATTTTATTTTGACAGATGTCATTCTGTTATTTCAGCTGGATTTTTGCATTCAAAACCTTTTTTTAGAAGAGTGCAGAAGAGGTGTACTCAGATTGTGTACTTTTAGTACTACCAGGAGTACTCTGTTACAATCGGCATCAAAATATACTGAGTACTTGTTATGCAGAATAGCCATGAGAATAGCCCATTCAAGCACCATATATTTTGAATTATAGTATTAACATTATTAGTGCATTAATGTGTTCATCACTTCAATGTTGCACTCGTCTGTTTTTAGCTAAGATAGCAGATTTGAAGGGGAAGTGAAAATGCTTAAAGCACTGATTTAGTTTCATTTTCTATCCCTGTAACAAACTACCTTAAAAACGGCCAAGTTGCTTCCTTTTACTTTGTCAATTACTTACTGCTCCAGTGGGTGCGTTGGTATGTTTTTGTAGCTCAACCTAAAATATATATTGTTTTACGATAACAAACGTTTGCCCTGTGTATTTTTAGGGCGCCAATGCCTCTGCTCTGGAGAAAGAGATTGGATCTGAGCAGTTTCCGGTCAATGAGCACTACTTTGGCCTGGTCAATGTAAGTAGATAGTGCAAAGTGTTTTTATTCATTTATCGCTACCTGTATGTTTGTCACACGTGATCTGACTGCTTTGCATGTTGTGATTTCTAGTTTGGAAACACCTGCTACTGCAACTCGGTGCTGCAGGCTCTCTACTTCTGCCGGCCGTTTCGGGAGAAGATCTTAGCGTACCGCAGTCAGCCTCGACGTAAAGAGAACCTGCTCACCTGCCTGGCCGACCTGTTCCACAGCATCGCCAACCAGAAGAGGAAAGTGGGCGTCATCCCACCCAAGAAGTTCATCACACGGCTTCGCAAAGAGAATGGTAAGATGGTACAGAAGACCCTGAAGTACCCACTTAACATGTGTAAAAGCTGAATTGTTCCCTAACGTCTCTTTGGACTTTAATCCGCAGAGTTGTTTGACAACTACATGCAGCAGGATGCCCACGAGTTCCTGAACTACCTGCTGAACACCATCGCAGATCTGCTGCAGGAGGAGAGGAAGCAGGACAAGACCAATGGCCGCCTTGCCAACGGCACATTGGACTCCCAGAACAACAACAGCAATGCCACGCCCGCTCCAACCTGGGTCCACGAGATCTTCCAAGGCACTCTGACCAACGAGACGCGCTGCCTCACCTGTGAAACGGTAAGACGCCTCGCTTCTGTTTCCCTGGGAAAGTGTAAGTGGCTTTCACAAAACATCTGTGTCACCAGAGTCTTGTTTGAACATGTCTTACTCAAACACACCTGCTGCAGATTTCAGGGATTATCAAAGAAACCCTAGAGAAGCTCTGTTTGTGCTTTAGTTTCTGCACAACAATGTTTAAGGTTAATACATTACTGGTTAGTTTTTTCAATGGAAGTTGCTTGTTTTTGACACCCTCTTCTCGTTACAGATAAGCAGCAAAGATGAGGACTTTCTGGACCTTTCTGTGGATGTAGAACAGAATACCTCTATCACACACTGCCTCAGGTAAATAAACAGCATGTACTGTAACTTAAAATGAGTCAGCAACTATTATAATAAGTTTTCTTTGTCTAAAATGATAATAAATAGTTTTTCTTTGCGTTTGGACTATTGGTATGACTTCAGATTGTGACGTATTCTTTCTTTGTGACTCCTCAGAGGCTTCAGTAACACAGAGACACTGTGCAGTGAGTACAAATACTACTGTGAAGAATGTCGAAGCAAGCAGGAGGCACACAAGCGGTCAGTACACTTATTTGTACATGTTTTTAATGTATATTAATGCATTTCTGTGTGTGGTTGGAAACTCTGATGTCGTGCCTTACCCTGTGACATGTGTGGCGTAGGATGCGTGTGAAGAAGCTGCCGATGATCCTGGCTCTGCACCTGAAGCGCTTCAAGTACATGGAGCAGCTGCAGCGCTACACCAAGCTGTCCTATCGCGTCGTCTTCCCCCTGGAGCTCCGCCTCTTCAACACCTCCGGGGACGCCACCAATCCCGAGAGGCTGTACGACCTGGTGGCCGTTGTGGTGCATTGTGGGAGGTGTGTAGGTGATCGCACAGCCAGAATACAACACCTTTTTTTTAAAGCAGTCTCCACAGCAACTGTAGAGACAGGCAAATGCATACATTTTCTATTTATAAAATGCATTTAAACCCATTGGCACGAGAAAAACAGTAAATCACATCTATACGAGAACAAGCACTGTTTGTACAAGGTGTTTCTCTGCATGTCACAGCATAAAAGACTCGAGCCCCTTAGTAAAGAAAAGATATTAGACTTACATAGAGTTGAGAAATGAAGACTGGAGTCCTACTCTGTCTTCTCCCTCTGCGATCTACTCCCAGTTGAGCTCCCTCAGCGGGTTATTTTGGAAACGTATCATGAAATTGATGTCATGATTTTAGGCCAAATATCATCTGGGATTTCAGCACACTTGGATCCATTTGGCTGTCGACGTTAGCCTCTAAGGGGAAAGTGAATATTCCTGTGATTTCAAAACTGCGTCAGGACTGCCTTTTCTGTTTGCTGGTCGTTGTTTACAATCCAATAAGCAACAGGAGATGCGATGCCTCGTTTGCCCTCCACACGGGCTGTTCAGCTATTTGTAACCAAACGTGATCAGCCAAGAAAACGTGGACTTTATTAACACTTTGTATCTTTGCCTACAGATTCTGGATTAATGCATCTGATTAAATGGAGATGCTTTAAAGCAGGGGGGTCAAACTCAAATACACAGTGGACCAAAATAAAAAAATGGGTACTAGTCGAGGGCCGGACTGGTTCAATGTTTATTGCAGAACTTATTGAAATGAACTTATTGCACATATTAAACCTGGAACTAACAAAGCTTAACAAAGCTTAAATTATTGCCTATAAAAACAACATTAAACATTAAATAATCAGTTCATTCATTTCTTATGGCTCTATCTGCAGCTTTTCCAGAGTCATTTCTTATGATTACATTTTCCCACAGGCCAACAACAGCTTCAACAAAACTATTTCCCTCAAAGAGAAACCAAACATGCCCTGTTGTCGTGAGAGAGAAAGTGCAGAAGGAAACATCCATTAAACTCAGTGTGCTGCTCTGTGAGGCTAGTTCAGATACTTGGCATCTCATCATGGGTGCAAGGTCATCAATGTTTGGGCTCAGGCTCTGAGCTGAGGAGACCCTCAGGATGGAGTGAAGGTGTGCGTGCAATATACCGGCGGGCCAGATCTAATAGTAATTAAAAATTATCCTGCGGGCCGAAATTAAATCCACCAAGGGCCTGATTTGGCCCCCGGGCCTTGAGTTTGACACATGTGCTTTTAAAGTATCATTAGGCACGATAGGGCTTGAATACTAAATTGAATACTTCTTCAACTCATTTAAATTAATTATGTTTGCCATTTTTGGCCTGGGGCACGACACGGTATAATAATACTACTGTATGTATCCTGAAACAGGCTTTATTATATCAGACCAGTATTCACACAGATTGTGATCTTTCACTGTCAGCTTTTTAAAATATTTTTGTTTGCAGCTGCACATTTTTGTGTTTCTCTAAAAGCCGGGTACACCCACGCAGGTGTTTCCACCTAATGGGATGGTGAGAGCGTTTACACCCCCACAGGAGTCTGCTGGGCAAAAGGAGTGGAAACACCTGAGTGGGTGGTCCTTTATAAAGTCTGGGTGATATGATCATGGAGGATAAAGCATACTCTAATACACTGATCTCTTCCTTTTCAGTGGTCCAAACAGGGGTCACTACATTGCCATTGTGAAAAGTCATGACTTCTGGTTGCTGTTTGATGACGATATTGTGGAGGTGAGTGAGTTCCTTGTATTTACGTTTTATTTGTAAGTACGTTCCTGTTTCTAACCCTGCTGTATGTGGTCATTCTGTTGTAGAAAATCGATGCCCAGGCCATAGAGGAATTCTACGGTCTCACTTCTGAAATCTCCAAGAACTCCGAGTCAGGCTACATCCTCTTCTACCAGTCCAGAGACTAACCGCCACAGAGACCAGAGGAAGACCCTCTTCATGGCTCGCAGCGGACCCTAAACGCACCACAGCCGCCCGCGTGGTCTCACACCAGCTCAGCTGTGTTTCATACTCGTGCTTTTACACGCTGCAGCTAAACAGTGGAAGTCTCCCCCTTGCTTCTTGCCTCCATACCCCCCCCTTCCTCCCCCTTTTATTGGACGCTGCTGCCGGCTCAACGAGACGATAATGAATGAAAACTGTGTCAAGATTGTTTTGAAAAAAAGACGCTGAATGAGGGTTGTACAGATATCGGTCGGTCGTACGCGTATTAGGTTTTTCTTGGGTGTGGGGTACTTAATAATTCATATGATGTAACACCGGCCTGCACCCCCCCCCCCTGTTATTCTGCACTGGGATTTACTGAGTGTGGCTTTTGATGATGCATGTAAAAGAGGATGGGTGGGGGGGTGAGCGTCCCACTCATGGGGCGTGCCGGGTTGTGTATTTCTACAGTGTACAGAATGGTATTTGTATAAATATTACAAGAAGAAAATATTATTGGAAATTGTTAGACCTTGAAAATATGTATTAACACTATGGTGCACTTTTGATACCGTTTTGTAGGTGTTGGCGAGTTTAATGTGAGGGTTTGCTTGAAAAGGCCTGTTGTAAAGCGATCATTTTCTGTTTTAAAGAAAAATAAATAAAGCCAGTAAGATTCAAGCAGGGTGTGTGCTCTCTTTTCTCAGCCTACAGGTGCATTGATGACTCATAGGAACTCTACATCGCCTCTCAGTGGTGATACCTGGCCTCGCACTGCAACAGGAGCTATTTTTAATCCATTCAGACACAAACGGCAGGTGCTTTGGAAAAAACCGCCTGATTAGTACTCGGTCATACTGCTATACTGCGGTCACATGCACGAACATCAGGAGAGGAGGCAGCGCCGCAAGGATGGAGGGATGAAGCGGAGAAGATGGAGGACGGGGGGGGGAGGGGGGAGACACATCAGGGAGGCTGTTAATAGCACAGAGAGGACAGGAATAACAGGAGCTGCAGCCTCTGAAATATGAGTCAGAAAGATTAAAATCAGGTGAGCTGGTGTTAGACTTACTGGCTGAGACACGTTGCTACATTAAGAGAAAGCACAATAACTGATACACATGAGATAAGATGTATATTCAGAAGAGTATCTATTCTACACACTAAAATATACCGAATAAATTAGAGTTAGATTAATATACCAATCTACTAAAGGGACAAGACATATATTTTAAGTGCTAAATCATGTTTTTATGATTTTTGTTATCAGTAAAGTGTCTTTGAATTTCTTGAAAAGCCCTATATTACAAAGATAATATTAATAAATGTGTATGTATAAGCATAGTGAGATATACATAAACGATTGTGCACAGTAATTTTTTAATAAAACAAAAATATATCCTGTGGAATATAGAGCCATGGACACACCTGTCCTTGAGCTCTTCGCCGGGGTTCAGCCGGTGTCTCGGGGTCTCGCCGGTGTGGGACTCCTCCTCCTCCTTCCTTCCGCCGCTGCACAGCCGCAGTACACGGCGATGCTCGGAGCTCTTCTCCTTCTTCTTCTTCTTCTTCTTCCATCCTCCCCGCTCTGAGGCACCGAGGAGCAGCATCCCCCTCCCCGGGCTCCGTCCCACCATCCCGCGCAATAACATGGACTCACAGGGCTGTCGTTCTTCCATCTAGACGGGAAGTCTCACAGTCAAGGTGGGTTTCTGCAGAAATTATTATTGCGCATCCTCGACATGCATGTTTTTCCCTCCTGCTGACGTGTTCCTCTCATGCAGGGTGCACAGAGGGTAAAGCAGCAGCACCATATGGCCACCAGTTTGAGATGCATGTATGGCTGTGGTGGTTTTATTTCAAGACGGGTGCGGTGTCTTCTGTTATGGAAAGCGGCATAACATGCGTCTCACAGCGGCGTGAATTCGTACCGGTTCCGGTTGAGGTTTATGGATGTATTTTATGGGAATGTGGCCTGAAATCTGCTGCAAAGCCTGCTGTGGTTTTCAATTATGCTCTTCAATTATGCCATTCACCTGTGGTGTCGCCTTTAGGCCTCTGTTAGAATAAAAAGGCGGTGTGTTTAATTCCCGGAGGAAAATACACGACCTGTCTGGATCTTAAATTGACAATGGACTACAGATGAGAATGAGTTTAACATATAATCTGGTACAGTGCAACACATGGTATTAGTTTTTTTAACTGTACCTTATGAATAATATAAATGTACATTTCTATTTCTGTTGGGTTTTATTGTTTAAATAGAGACATTAGTTTTGGTGTGGATGAAAGTCTGTTATATCTTCTGCATAATGGCATGCATACCTGTACCACATATATAACCTTCGAAGGTTAAGTAAGAAAAATCAGTAACTGTGGTGTCATAAAACGGGGGGGGGGTTAAGTGCCCTCTGTTATGCCTTCAGAATTAGTAGAGCTAAAAAGATGACCCAAGAATAGACACTATTACTTATTTATGGTGCTCCTTGTCCCTATTGGGGTTGTGCTTTCCACTCAGATATCATAGTGTGTTTGTTCGTGTCGATTTCAGACGGGGGGCACAATGAGTGAAGAGCCAGCAGTCACCCCAAGCTGGCTGACCCCTGACCCCACAGCCTGGGCCAGTGGAGGCGGAGCACTGATGGACAACAGCACCAGTCTGGGGACGTTTCCAGCAGATTCCCTCGCTCCCAGCCAGCTGCCCCTGCTGGTGAACCCCTGGGACATCGTGCTGTGCACCTCGGGGACGCTGATCGCCTGTGAGAATGCTCTGGTGGTGATGGTGATCTGGCAGAACCCGGCGCTCAGAGCCCCCATGTTCCTGCTGATCGGCAGCCTGGCGCTGGCGGACCTGCTGGCCGGCCTGGGCCTGGTGCTCCACTTCACCTGTGCCTACTTGCTCCAATCTGAATCGGCCCAGTTGCTGACGGTGGGCCTGGTGGTGGCCTCCTTCTCCGCCTCTGTCTTCAGCCTGCTGGCCATCACTATCGACCGCTACCTGTCGCTGTACTACGCCCTCACCTACAACTCTGAGCGCACCGCGGCCTTCACCTACACCATGCTGGTGCTGCTGTGGGGGCTCTCCCTGTGTCTGGGCCTGCTGCCGGTCACAGGGGTCAACTGCCTGGAGGAGGAGGCCACATGCAGCGTGGTGCGGCCCCTCACCAAGAACAACATCGCCGTGCTGTCCGTCTCCTTCCTGCTGCTCTTCGGCCTCATGCTGCAGCTCTACGTCCAGATTTGCAAGATAGTGATGCGGCACGCTCACCAGATCGCCCTGCAGCACCACTTCCTGGCCGCCTCGCCTCACTACGTCACAACGAGGAAGGGCGTCTCCACGCTGGCCATCATCCTGGGTACCTTCGCCGCCTGCTGGATGCCTTTCACTGTCTACTCTCTTATTGCCGACTACACCTACCCCCCACTGTACACCTACGCCACGCTGGTGCCTGCCACCTACAACTCCGTCATCAACCCGGTCATCTACGCCTTCAGGAACCAGGAGATCCAGAAGGCGCTGTGGCTGGTGTGCTGTGGCTGTGTGCCTGCCAGCGTGGCCCAGCGTGCTCGGACCCCCAGTGCCGTCTGACCCCACAGACCCTGGTGGGAAGAGAGCGGCGCCCTGAGTCAGCTCTGCTCCTCGCTGGATGTGTCTGGTGTCAAAGGGAGCAGCAGTGGGGGGAGGCCGGGGGGAGGCAGCAGAGGGCCTGGCTTCAGCTCTTGGTGGAGATGCTCCTGGCAGTTTTGTTAGTTATCCGAAGCCCACCTGGATGGATTATTCTTTATAGGGCAAGGTGTCTCACTGTCTTCCCCAGTACAGGCGGCCACTGAGCGGGCAGCATCCCGCCCCCCCCTTTCCAACCACGCCCTTCCTCTGTTCTGCAGAGAGTGCTGAGATCATCACATGTTTTACAGGCAGCAGCCTTATATAAAAAGTGCACATAGCGACCAGCGCTGGAGCTTTGGTTTGTTTGTTTTCCTTAAATAGAGGAGGGATTGTTAGTCTGCTCCACTGTGCGTAAAAACCATGGTGAAAACGCACGGTGGATTTATTAAGTGCGCAGGGGTGAGGTAAGGGAAGAGAGTATTCTCACGCAGGCATTTCCACATATAGGCCGTCTGGATCCCGTCTCTCTGCTGCTGCACTCTGGACGTGCATCGAAAGCTAAAGAGCCGCGGAGAGCTAAAAATAAATCCGGCACTCTGTGATCCTTCCGCTCCCCGCGTCCTCCACAGACGCCGAGGAAGAAACAAAGCCGTTTCCCCTCCTCTCTTCTCCACAGTCTTCTGTTCTCTCCCGATTGTGCATGAATGTGTTTTAGTCCATCAGACAAAGCCACAGGAGATCTGACCATTAACCCTCCCTCCATTCTTTTGTACTAATTAACGGAGGCAGCTAACCGAGTATAAGCCTATTGGATTATGTAACCACCTTCAATCCCCTTTTTCACCTTTTAAATGGAGATGCTTAAGACTTTTTGATTGTCTGGAGAATGCTATATACTTTTTGTATTATACAATTGAGAAAAGTTGACAAAAATTTGAATTGAAAGGTCATTTTGAAAAGGATAACACACATCTCAAATGTGTTATCCCTATAGATATTAAATTAACATGATCACATGACTACAAACCTGGAGCTAAACTAGCAAAATGGTGATTTTGGTGTTGAAATGTTTCTTTTATTTGATATTTTTGGCTCCTTAAGAGCTCAACACAAACCACATATCTGATGTGCATGCTGTGTAATTAGCATGTAACAAGCAAACATGCCCTTTTAGTCCTCCTGAGGTCACATGCCAGCCATGTGTCAGTGTACCCAGATGTCCTCACGACACTAATAACTCCTAATTGTGCTTATGTACACAATGTACCTCACATGTATACCATTGAATGAGCTACAATCATCACTAGAGGGTCATGAGAGTTTTGAAAATGTGGATTCCTAGAGATATCTTCGCTGTATGGTGCGGGAACAGGCTTCAGAGTCATCATTAGAGTCCTGCTAAGTGTGAGGCAAAGATCACAACACCTACCAGCTGCTCTGAGTCATTCTTTTTTGGGTCTTGAAAATGAGTTTGCAAACCCGACAACATGCTAACACCTCCATCTCTTCATATCTTGTCAGCAATAACTAGCCAATGAAAGGTAGTTATTATTTTTTGTAGATGTGAAGCAATACTCAGACAGCAATAACATCACGTCGCTCCATGACTTCTTCTTCAATGTGAAGCACCATAATGGCTGCTCGGGTAGGGCTGTGTAGTGAATGGGCTCCGAATGATGCTTCAGTGATACATCTTCAAAAAGGTGGTGGTATAATCACTCCGGGGCGAGATCAAACGACTCATTTGTCACTGCCTCAGTCCTCTGACATGATTTTGTCTCGAGACAAAATCTGGCTTTTTTTAATCGTGCCGGGATGAGATATCGTTTTGTTGCCTCTGCTTTTCTGTGAGCATACGAACTGTCCTGTAACCTCAAGTGTCGGTGTGTGATGGTGTGTCGTGCATACTGTATGAGTTGCATGGGTGTGTGCATGTGTGTCTGTTCCAGCAGCTCAGCAGACCATGTTCTGTCTCCTTGTGCGGGGGGTTACGGAGGTATATGACTTCCTGTTGACCCTTTGACCTTTGAGGAAAATGCTGCCAAGTCTTCCTGTCAATCCTGAGAGAAGTGGCCTCGTTACGTGTTTGCAGAGCTTTTTTTTGAAAGGGGGATAGGACTAGGACGCTCCGGCACTTCAAGCCAAGGTGAAAGGGACTCTCAATGTCCTACTCCTGCTGAGTTTCCTGTCTCTAAATCACTTATACTCTACTTTTAATCAATCTGATTGAGGCGTCCTCTAAGAAGTGACCTCTGAATGATTCTATGAGCTAAAATGGTCGCTTCCAGATACAAAGATAATGCTTCTTCTTTCATTCCTTGCGAAGAGGCATTTGAAGAGCTCAACATTCTCATCTTTTGGCCTCAAGTATAGGAGAGGAATGGCATATCTGAGCATCGGAACGTGGACTTGTGTCAGACTGAATACGGTTGCTTTATTTTCGATGAGCACCACCGGGTCAGGCGTCACAAACCATCTTTTACCTTTTGGAGAAAATTCTATATTTTGTTATATTCATTGAAAAGTTATATTTTTTTCCACTTTAGTCTGGCCTGGATTCTTTCAGATTCTGTACGATGTAACGGCGCTGTAAAGCCTTTTTTTCTGAATGTAGTAATGAATCGTTTATTTGATTCCCCCCCCCACCTCCTCTTCACTCTTTTGTTTCTGTAAATACGGCATGCTGAGGAGGAGGCGGGGCTTTATACCACCGTGCATGGTGCTACCCAAGTCTGGTTGCACCGTTTTTTTTGAATGAATTTTCTCCGCTGTTGATGTAGAAACTCTTCTGTTCGGCTTCAATATGCACCAGTTTGTAAAGGCTGGATTAAAGGTTTTTAATTGGCTACACAGACGGGGATGTTTGAGGAAGATTGGTGAATGTTTTTCCTTCTTGTGCAGCAGACAGTATTGTTCATGATGATTGAGCAGGTGTGAACAAGGGCTTTGTATCCAAGAATAGCAGATGTTGGATGTAATACTTCTGTATACACACACCTGTTAATCTAAATGCTTCACAGTGTAATAATACACTGTGCTTTTTGAGAAAATGTGCAGCCAATGACTTGTTAAATGAAATAGTTACCAATCTAGAGCTAAATACACTAAAGGGCCTGTGAATGTGTGTGTTTGGGGGGGTGTGGGTGTTTGTGTGGGGGGGGTGGGGTTGAGGTAACAGCATCTTGTCTAGATGTATGCGTAGTTATCAATGTGAATGCACTTTATTTTGTGGATGAAAATGCACAACAAATCCTGCAAAATGGAAACCACGGATAAGTCAACATGCACTAACCTTAAAAGACTGAGATTTATTTGTTAACCAAAAGTGAGAAAGAAAAGAAATGTGTGTGAACGTGGTGTGTATTTTCAAAAGTGTTATAGTGTGTACTTTTTATTATTGCTTCTGGTTTAGAGTTCCACTTTTTGTATTAAAAAACCCAGCAACAAGTGTGCTCCTGCATGAAAAACTCCTCGTGTCGTTTGTTCATCCTCGCCCGTTTCTCTTGGCAATACACCCGTCTGAGCGTGTACTGTTACCATGAAAACTGATTGTCTTAAAAGCCAGGTACCTGCATTACGAGAAACAGACAAATAACCATGGTAGCGGAGCCGGTCATGAATCCGTCACGTCATGCTTTTCTTTTATTTTTCTCCGGGTCAAAGGTTACAGAGCTCGCACTAGCATATGCACACCCCCCCCCCCCCAGATCCTCCCTCCTCCCCCTCCCCCCTCCCCCCACACAGCAGTGATTCGATTGCTCAATCATGGATTATAATGCGTATTCAATAAGGACTAATTCCATATCCCTCTTTCGTTTACTTTCCAGTTAATGTATATAACTTGCCAGGGGATTCTCAGCAACGTGTTTCAGTAAAAACACCATTTTTAAAAAAGACAGTAAGTACATTGGTTATCCTCGAGCGGAAAAGCTGCTAATCTTCTAACACCCTCAAGCTCCGGACGTATACATGTAATAATAAGCACCTTCACAGGGTGTCGTATATATGTTATAACAGGTAGAGAAACAATCCACTGGGTTGTAATTCACAAAAGCTTTGACATTACAGGACTACATGTTAATGTTTCAAAGAGTATTACGGTATGTCATTAGTGTCTTTTACAGTGGAGAACCACACCCGCTACATTTTCCAGTTTTGGACCATTCAGCTGGTATATCAACCTCAGCATGTGATGTGTGTGTGTGTTCATGTGTTAGTGGTATAACCCGTGTGTGTGGGTACAGTGGGGCATTCTTTCATGTGTGTGTGTGTGTGTGTGTGTGTGTGTGTGTGTGGTGTGTGTGTGTGTGTGTGTGTGTGGTTGGTGTGTGGTGCTTATTAGTGGTTATCCCACATTGGGTGTGTGTGTATGTTAATCCGACCAATCGTTCTCTCCAACTCGGAGTCGTCCTCGGAGTCGGGGAGTTATCCTCACAGCGATGCGCGCGGACAGGGATGTATGGCCACGTGCGTGTTCCCGACCGGCTCCCCTCTTGCCTGCTCTCCTGCTGCTCCTGCCACCTTCTTCAGCTGGAGCCTGCGGGATAGATTATGGGATGGTTTAAGACTGGCACGCTTACAATACATGTGGACATCAGAGGAGGACGAAATAGGGGCATCATTATTAAAGGTGTTTTCCAATTATCACAGGATTAATTTCTGCTTTTTTTTGTAGATCAGTTGCGAGTCAACAATGCTATTTTGTTAAATACAAGTTGGTAACTGTGCCTGTTTGGTCTGTAAAATAAATGATTATCTCGATATAGTAAGGGATAGGTTTTAGGTAAGTAGAGACGCTACATTTCAAAGCTGTTCCCTAGTGTTGATCAAATAAAGGCCTTGACATGAGACATCTTTTTTGCAGTATTTTAACTTAGTATGTGTACCTCAACGGTTGTGGCTTACAGGGGTTGTAACGAGGGGTGGAAACCTGTCGATACATGTGTAGTAATGAACACTGACTACAGCCCTGCGGTTGTAAATCCAATTACGTTGCTTCCCACAAACCCAAACACACTCGCTGCACACTTCACTCTGTTACCCGTAGTCATAGCGGCGAGGCTCACGGTCGGCTGCGGGCGCTCGGGACCCGCTTCGCTTGCTCAGCAGCCAGGCAGAGGAGGGACACTTGTGGGTGGAGAAGTGGGAGGAACAGGCTGACTGGGGAGAGGAGGAGGACCAGGGGGGGGAGTTGACCACCTGGAATCCACCTAGAGAGGGGAGGAGGAGAAGGGCCACCGGCCATCATGGGCATG